GATACATTCATTTCATGTTGAGCCGTGGTCACCACCAGCCGTTTGGGTTGTTTAAGCTGTGACCGCCATGGACGAGCACTGTTGCCTTTGGCGATCGCTGTATTTGTTAGGTTTTGCTAATGTGTCTTTACTGTGCAGCTTATTATTTCTATAAACATTTCTTGCAGTTTCTGGAGGGAAACTTTGCACTGTTCTGTAGCTACACCCTTGGCTTCAGAAATGACTTCCAAAACATCCTTCTCGTCATTATGGTGAGCAAACTAAATCTAAACTAAATTTTTGAATGCTAAAGACTCTGTATGGTCTGTAAAGATAGGTGAGGTGTCATTATGGAGTGATTGACAGTGACATTTTGACAGACAAATGTACAAAAGGAAAGCACTTATTGGGTCCATTACATAACACATTTGCATAATACAAGTTCCATTTTTGCTGACCATCTGAATAGACTAGTGTTTCCAGTAATGTATTACGCCTTAACCAACCCACAACTCACGGCTTTACTCATAAAATGCTCCAGTATCGCAGAAAAGTTGTCAATATCCAGAGTATTGACAACTAGATTATTGTTCAAGGAAGAAAAAGGTTGTTCATCTAGTTTCAAAGAACAAGAATGTCTTGTTCATTTGTTTTTGTCCTTGAGATCAGAGTGTTCAAACCACAGATTCCTTTAAGAATTCATGTTCAATAAGAGAGTATTATTGTAGTCATGTAAAACCCGGTCTGCTGACTTTTTTTCAGACTACAATAAGCCTCGTTCAGGGAGCTGAATGCATGAATAGAACGTTTTCAGGCATTGTCCTAGATATGGCTCAAAACATTCCAGTATTGTTGTCAGAAAGGTGTGTTAGGTAGCATTCTTACTGCTGGGAACCTGTGTGAACGCGTAGATAGATAAATTAATTGCCAGAAACCTAATCTTAGCTAATGCCTTGTTCACGCACTTCATTATCAGTCACGAAAACCATCTTGCAGTGCATTGGTTTTACTGTATTACAAACTGATATCTCTGTCGGCATAGATCATCAAAATGTTTAATATTTGAAAAATGTTTGTCTTCCAAATCATCATCATGTGGTGTGACAAACATATACACAAAAACTAAAACTTTTTTTCATACTGCACACTTTTACAGTAGTTGTCTTTGAGCTAATTCTATTTAAATTTTCTCTATTTCAGCTTTCCGCCACACTTGCCATCCCATTTTGGCAATGGTTCCTCACAAAATTTGGCAAGAAGACCGCTGTGTATATTGGGACTACAGTAAGTACTGGCAGCGGCACATAAACCTTCATTGAATTACACTAACTGACCAACAGCGGCTGCTTCTTGTCTGTCATCTACTGTAATCAGAGGAGGACAGTAACTAAGTACATTTACTTGTGCATTGACATAAAAAAGGAAATTTACTTTTGGTACTTAAGTACTTTTAAAAGCAAGTGCTTCTGTACTTTTACTTAAGTAAAAATCTGTCTTTACAACTTTCACTTGTAATGGAGTAATATTTGACCAGCAGTATCTGTACTTTCACTCAAGTAATGGAGTTGTGTACTTTGTCCGCCTCTGACTGTAATTGATGCTTTGATTCCTGTTACTGATGGTTTATATTCTCTATGCAGTCTGTAGTGCCTTTCCTGGTCTCCGTCGTCTTTGTGCCCAGCAATCTTATTGTGACGTACGTCGTGTCCTTTGCCGCTGGAGTCAGCGTTGCAGCGGCCTTCCTCCTGCCATGGTAAGTACCTGAGAATTGTACAAATGCGTGTGCACTTACAGATTTGGTGCACTTTATTCATGGAGTGTGCTTTCCTATATGCTCAGGTCCATGCTTCCTGACGCCGTGGATGATTTTAAAGTCCAAAATCCTGAATCTCAGGGCCATGAAGCCATCTTCTACTCCTTCTATGTGTTCTTCACCAAGTTTGCATCTGGAGTTTCCTTGGGGGTCTCAACTCTTAGTCTTGAGTAAGTTTCACAGCCTTGTACATGAAATACTGGCTTTTAAATTGGATTATAGTGTTCATGATCCACTAAGCCCGGCTTTTTGTTTTACTGTATGAGAATCAGTCTGGCCTCCTGACATTCAGATTTAATGCGATTAGAGTTTGGAGACATGACCATATAGGATCGTGTTTTACTGTGAGATTCAGTGATCAGTCATGAGGTTGGATTTATCTGGATGAACATGAATAAGAGATTAATCTCTCGTTTCTTCTCTTTCAAACAGTTTTGCCGGCTATGTGACGAGAGGTTGCACGCAACCCGCCGAAGTCGATTTAACATTGAAGATCCTGGTGTCTGCTGCTCCAATAGTCTTGATCATTATCGGGCTGCTAATATTCATCTCGTATCCAATCAACGAGGAAAAGAGACAAGGCAACCGCAAAATACTTAATGAACAACGGTAAAGCCACCTATTGATTTGAAGTCTTTCAGTCACATGTTTTGCTTAAAGACGTTAATCCTGCTCAACATTCTCGAAATCTATAAATTAACATGCCACTTTTAAACCTCTAAAGCTGATTAAATGGCATTCTTAAAATTATTTTGCCTGTGTCCTTACTGTGTCCTGTTTTTGTTTTTTTTTCAGAGAAAATGAGATCGACTCCGAAACAGACTCCACTGAGCTCAATGTGGTTTAATAGCACCAGAACACTAGACAGAACATCGTGCCAATTGCGTCGGACCAACAGAGCCAAAACAAACTGAGTGGATGCTTTGAACCAACCATGCTGCCTTGTGGCTGAAAACTTCCACCCATATCACCCCTACACGACCGCAAATCAAGTTGAAACATAACCTTTGCCAGCTCAAGTTCAAAGTGCCTTGCCATTTCCAGTTGCAAGTGCTTATGGACGCTAGAAACGTTTCCCTGAGCTGCACAAGGCTTGTGTGTGTCGCCAGTATTTGTGCTGCTCGCTGGCATAGGATCTCAAAGCAGTGTCCAAAAAAAAGCCAGCTTTTGATAAGCACACATCTAGACTGCATTAAAAAATGATCTGAGGTGGGACATGTCTACCGTAAGAAGAAACTTGAAATTTAAAGGTTTTTAGGTGCTACAACCAAAAATGCATTTCAATCGTGATTGAAAGGTACATTTTGGGAGGAATATCTGTGAAACTGTACACAACTAAGTAATATTTGTATGTAATTTAATATTTATAAATGCTTTTGTGCATCTAACTGGATAAGCAAACTTGAAACATTGAGACCTGAGTGGGGTTTGATTACATCAAACTTCAGTATTGTGCACAGAAGGTTATTGTTTATTTCTTGTATTACTTTCCTTCACATACCCCTTCTATTGTGTTCCTTTTCATCTGCTTCTGCTCTCTTGGGGCAAACAAACAGAGCTCGTTTAGAGGGATGCGCTGAGGGATAAACTTACAAATGTGGTCCCTCAACACCTTCAGATGATATGCTTCAGATCAGAGGATCTTATTCGATTAAGTTCTGGATGGGTTCACTAAAGTGTGGATGAAAGTGCTGCTGACAACTGAAGCTATGAACTAGCAGGATGCCATTAGACTATGTGGGGTTAAAATGTACGATCAATTGCTTATTTTTTGAGGTGAACAAGATTAAGTATTTATTACTTTTGTTTTAGATCATATGTTGATTTGATTATGTCTGTTTCTCCCATCTTCCTTAATTTATCTTGTTTAAGGGCCTCAGTCGCATGAAATAAGGGCAATTCGAGCTGTCACTGCTGAATTATGTCTAATAGCCTATGCCATTAATTCCTATGGAAAAGCCAATCAGTGTGTTTATAGGTGACACTGCTGTTTGTTTAGGTGTTAAATTATTCAGATTTCTGGTCTGTTTGTTTCATGTCAGTGTCCGTACAGTAGTTGTCTCAAAAGTGCTTTTATTATTGTATAGTTCTCTGCCTGTAACTTCTGTGTGTCAAAGATCTGAATGCCAAGTGTTTCTCTTACCATCTGTAAGTGCTGTGATATATGTACATAGACCATCTGAAAATATGAAGTCATATTTTTTATTTTCTATTTGGGGAAAATGGAATGGCTTGTAAATAATATTTGTGTAAATGTCTAATTTTATACATATGTACATATGATGCGCATTGAAATCTCATCAGTGCATGTTTGGAGTTCATACAGTTTTCTAACACGTGTCAATTTTGTATTGATGCATCTGTGACTTTTTTTTTTTTACCCCATTTTCATTAACACCGGTTTGTGGTGATCTGTTAAGATTTCTGTATTCTGACATCAAACATTACAGTTATTGTATATAACAGATGTGCTGATGTTTGTACATAGACGTGATATTTTGGGATGCAATTGTTGTAAGTGTGTAGTTATTGAAAAGAAACGATGTTACAAAAATGTTTGTTAATAAATACTAATTAATATTCAAGGATCATCATTTGCTTTTTTCCCTTCTACCACATCAGCCTCTTATATAATAAAATATTTAAAAAAAATTCTATCTGTCTGTACCATAGACTAAAAAAAAAAAAAAAAGTGTACAGAGAGAGCTGGCATACTTTTTTTATTTTGACTTTATTTTTTTTATTATTCCATTTCACTGTGGCTTTTCTTCAGTGTCATATTATTTCATTATGAACTATTATCAATATCGGTTTTAAAACGCGGTTTTCAAAGTGTTAGTCCATTTTTTTTTTTCAAAAAGGAGAGACGGGCAGAAAAATCTCGCAGTCTCAACAGGGTCAGTGTAGGAGCGCCTCCTGGAGGAGAAAGACAACAGCTCAATGGGTCGCATCTTTACGCACTCGATTACTCTTCCTGCTGTTGAATAGCTGGACAAGCGATTGTTCAGAGCTGATGCAACACTATCATTACAAAGCAAAATATAAAAAAATAGCTTAATAATACACATTTTGCTATATATGTCTAATATATTTCACCGATATATCCAAATATTTATTATATTTATTTATATATATATTTAATATAACTCGTGTACATAAATTGATAAAACTAACTTTCATTCATAGATATATCTGAGGGGCTTTTATTATGAAATACGTGATGAAATCTTTCAACAGGAAAAGCCTGTCACCGGCACACACGTTTCTCAGATACCACCGGTGAGATTTAATGTGAATTTTTATTAAATATCTGAGCTTTTGTCATCTATTATCACTGACATTTTATAAGGATAGTATTACATTTTATACCGACCTATTTACTGCTTTGAGGTGTTTCTATCACTCTGGGAAATGGATAACGTTACATAAGACAGCTCATCCTCAGAGGTTCATTCATAGCAGACGTCATTTTAACTCGGGGCTGAATAACTGTTCCTAAAAATAACAGTTTTGACATATGGCTTCTACCAGAACCACAAATTGAGTTTAGCCTCGTTATTTGTTATATAAGCCTGTGATTACTCCATTCGCACAGAAGCAGCAGACATCATGGGAGAGCAGCTGAGTCCTGATGAGAAGTTCCAGCTCATCACCAGAAACCTTCAGGTGAGAAACTGCAGGGAAAGATGTTAAAGGGATAGTTCCCCCAAAAACGAAAATTTGATGTTTATCTGCTTACCCCCAGGGCATCCAAGATGTAGGTGACTTTGTTTCTTCAGTAGAACACAAACGAAGATTTTTAACTCAAACCTTTGCAGTCTGTCAGTCATATAATGGCAGTGGATGGGAATCACGGCTTTGAGAGTCATAAAACATACACAGACAAAACCAAATTAAACCATGCGGCTCGTGATGATACATTGAGGTCTTAAGACACAAAACGATCGGTCTGTGCAAGAAACTGAACAGTATTTATATGATTTTTTACCTCTGATTCACTGCAATGTCCAACTGTCCTGAGCGCGTTCACAACATCCTGCGCGTGATGTGTACCTGCTCTGGCATAGTAGACATGGATATATATAAGTAGATGCCTCATTAGTGACTGTTTCAATGGGCCGCGATATGTTCCAAAATGGCAGACGCGTCAACGTATCTGGAGCGTTTGAAGAGGGAATCTATACATATCTATGATGGTAGACGCATGTGCGGAAGCAATCTGTCACGCGTTTACTTCACTCATTATTTACACAGTGCAGAGAGATTGTGTACGTGTTCACTAGCACTGCGATGATCTAAAGATATTTAGAAGTACAGGTCATCACAATGGAAGACGATTTTGATATATCATCAGACAACGTGGAATTTTTTGCCCAACCGTATGTATTTGACGTCACGTGCCGGATGTTGTGAACGCGCTCAGGACAGTTGGACATTGCGGTGGATCAGAGGTGGAAAATGATATAAATACTGTTCAGTTTCTTGCACAGACCGATCGTTTCGTGTCTTTACACATCAATGTATCGTCACGAGCTGCAGGGTTTAATTTGGTTTTGTCTGTGCATGTTTTTTTTTACTCTCAAAGCCGTGGAGCCCATTGACTGCCATTATATGACTGACAGACTGCAATAAAAATCTTCGTTTGTGTTCTACTGAAGAAACAAAGTCACCTACATCTTGGATGCCCTGGGGGTAAGCAGATAAACATCAAATTTTCATTTTTGGGTGCACTATCCCTTTAAGAGATTCCCAAATTCCTTGTAACAGCTCAAAAACATATTTAACATTTGAAGTATGTCTGTTGTTGTTTTGAAGATATTCATTATTTAGTTTTTTTTTTTTACATGCACAGTTAATGAGGTGTCTGTTCTGTCAATTTCAAAAGACTGTTTCTGCCACTGTTATTTTCTCAGGAGGTTCTTGGTGAGGAGAGGTTGAAGGAGATCCTGAAGGAGAGGGAACTGAAGGTCTACTGGGGAACAGCAACCACGGGCAAACCCCATGTGGCCTACTTTGTCCCCATGTCAAAGATTGCTGACTTCCTGAAGGCGGGCTGTGAGGTTTGTCTCTGGTGTTCTGTATTGGTATTTTATTACTTGCATGGACAATTTGTCAGGGCGTTGGTGTGTATAACTATTGATGTTTCTGTTCTGTAGGTGACCATCCTCTTTGCTGATCTCCATGCCTATCTGGACAACATGAAAGCTCCCTGGGAGCTGCTGGAGCTCAGGGTGCAGTATTATGAGCAGATCATTAAGGCCATGTTGGAGAGCATTGGAGTTCCCCTCGACAAACTCAAATTTGTTAAAGGCACAGACTATCAGCTCAGCAGGTAACCGTCCCTTTTATTTAAATACTGTAGCTATAATTTCAAACAGTTACATAGGATGATAATTGACCAAATGGTTTTTAGGAAGAGATATGTTTTGTTGTGTTGCCAAACATGTTTTTCTTACAATGAATACAAAGATGATGTTTGTGGTTCTTATTTCTTTAAGAAGAAGGCAAATGCTTTGTGTGGTTGATTTATTATAGAGAGTACACTCTGGATGTTTACCGACTGTCATCCATGGTCACTGAACATGATGCCAAGAAAGCAGGTGCTGAGGTGGTCAAACAGGTTGAGCATCCTCTTCTGAGTGGCCTGCTGTATCCTGGACTACAGGTATGCAGACCATCTTCTGCTAACATTTTCCTCATCTTTGTAGTCTTCTAGAAGGGTCTGTAAGTATTTGTTTTCAATAATAATGTGAACATGGAGTCAGTTTTAAAAACCTACTTATTTTTTCATATTGGTGCAAATGCAAATATACAACCCATTAAAATTATGCTGCTTGTTATGTATTTCTACACTACTGTTCACAAGTTTGGAATCAGTATTTTATTATTAATTTTTTTAAAGTAATAAATACTTTCATTCAGCAAGGGTGCATTGAATTGATCAAACGTAACAGGAAAGACAATTATATTATTTGAAAAAATATTTTTTGTGACTCTTTTTTGTTTTTAAATTTATTTTTCTTCCACAAAATATGAAACTGTTTTCAACATTATAATAAGAAATGTTACTTGAGCAGCAAATCAGCATATTAGAATGATTTCTGAATAATCATTTTAAAATAGAAAAGTTATTGTGAGCATTAAACAAAACAAAAAGTCCTACTGACTCTAAACTTTTAAACAGTAGTGTATGGTTATCAGTACTTCTTAGTACTTTATTCATTTATTTAAACCTACATTTCTGGATTGGATGATTTTCTTTTTTTTGGCGTTCTGTTCTATTTTCAAATTTACTGCTTATTCCAGACACTGTGACATTGTTTTTCATTTCTGTCAGGCACTGGATGAGGAATACTTAAAAGTAGATGCTCAGTTCGGTGGTGTGGACCAAAGGAAGATCTTCACATTAGCAGAGAAGGTACATTTTTACCTATTTCTTATTCCATAAAGGGGTCATATGATGTAACAATAATGTACAGTATGAGGAAAATAATGTGTTTTTTGAACCTTAAACCGCATAAACACATTTCATTACACCAAATACACAAAATAATGTTCTTTGAGGCAACATCATATGACCCCTTAAGATGTTTTAAAACTTAATGCTCACCTATACAGTACTGTGTAAAAGTCTTAGGCACAATAGATGCTTCTCAAAAGTTTTGGATTTAATGTTTTTTCTTCTTTTGCATTTTTTGCTTTAGCTTGCCAGTAGGAAATACAAAAAAATCAAACTTGATTATAATATTTGTAGAAAAACTTTAAAAAATGTAAAGTTGGTATTTCCTACTTGTACACTAAAGCAAAAAATATAAAGTCTTAAATGTTTCTGTGTAGCATCAGATGCAATGAGTGGACAGAATAATGTGTGAATCAAGCTTTCTGTCATGATGTCATACTGATTTGATGTTACTCTGTCCTGATCCCAATAAATATATGGGTATGTTTGCTGGATATATTTTGTGTTTTAGAATTGTTGTTTTCTCTTTTTTTGCAGTATCTGCCCTCTCTTGGGTACACCAAACGTATCCACATGATGAACCCAATGGTGCCTGGACTGACGGGGGGCAAGATGAGCTCCTCTGAGGAGGTACGTTACCATTTACACCTTCAAAGATTTCAAGAATGTTGTAAGATAAAGATTTACGATCACATTCTTCGATTCATGTATTTAAAGAATCGTATTGATTCTGCAGGATGGGATAATGGCGTATGCTGTTGTATTCCAGGTGTCAGGTTGATACACTAAGATTCATCATTCTCAAACTTTCATATCTGCTACAGGAATCCAAGATTGACCTGCTGGATAAGAACCAAGAGGTGAAGAAGAAGTTAAAGAGAGCCTTCTGTGAGCCTGGAAATGTGGAGAATAATGGAGTTCTGTCCTTTGTCAAACATGTGCTTTTCCCTCTGCACTCTGGTGAGTTCAGGCAAAAAATAATAATTTTGGAAAAACATCTAGTTAAGTGCTTAATGATGTGTTCTGTTTTTTAGAGTTTATAATTAAAAGAGATCCAAAGTGGGGAGGTGACAAAGTCTACACAGACTATGAGGAAGTAGATAAGGACTTTGCTGCAGAGGTATCTAAACAATACTTATATTTACTTGACGGGGTAGTTCACCCAAAAATTAAAATCGTCATTAATTACTCACCCCCATGTCGTTCCAAACCCATAAGACCTTTATTCATCTTCAGAACACAAATTCTTTCTGACTTTCTGACCCTGCATAGACAGCAACACAACTGACATGTTCAAGGCCCAGAAAGGTTGTAAGGACATCGTTAAAATAGTCCGTGTGACATCAGTGGTTGAACCGTAATATTATGCTTCATAAAATTACGGTTGAACCACTGATATCACATGGAATATTTTAACAATGTCCTTACTACCTTTCTGGGCCTTGATTGTGGTAGTTCCCTTGCAGTCTATGCAGGGTCAGAAAGCTCTCTGATTTCATCAAAAATATCTTAATTTGTGTTCAGAAGATGAACGAAGGTCTTTCGGCTTTGGAATGACATGAGGGTGAGTAATTAATGACAGAATATTCATTTTTGGGTGAACTATCCCTTTAATGTATGAAAAACATATGTTTACATAAATCGAGTTGAGCATCCTATGTTGAGCTCCTGCATTGCTTACCTGCAGCAAATCCATCCTGGTGACCTGAAGGCTTCAGTAGAGTTGGCTCTTAACAAACTGTTGGACCCAATCAGGAAGAAGTTTGAGACCCTAGAGTTGAAGAAACTGACAGCATCAGCTTACCCAGAGCCCTCCAAAAACAGTGAGTGAAAATACACAATATCTAAAAACATAATCACTGACACTTGTGAACCCATTTAACAGTGTTTCTTCAAGTTCTAGATTAAGTTTTAGGACAAGGAAGAACTTCCACATCCATTTACACATACGTTGAAATTGTCATTGCTTCACAGAAGGAGGAGCAAAGGGAAACCCTAAACAAACTGTAGATGAAGAGGAGGTCATCCCATCTAGATTGGACATCAGAGTTGGCAAAGTCATCAGTGTAGAAAAGGTAGAGAAAGCCAGCTATAATTTTATGAGTATTTTTTTCTAGTAAAATAGTGTTACGCGTTTCAGAAAGGCGGGGCATAGAGGAGAAACAATAATGTACAGTATGTGGAAAATAATGTTTTAAAACATTCCGCATAAACACATTTCATTACACCAAATACACAAAATACTGTTCTTTTTAGCAGCATCATATGACCCCTTTAAATAACCTTGTTTCTTGACCTGTTAGCATCCAGATGCAGACTCACTGTGTTTAGAGAAGATTGATGTGGGTGAGGAACAGCCACGGACCGTAGTGAGTGGACTGGTGGCCTACCTCTCACAGGAGCAGCTTCAGGATCGTCTTGTTGTGTTGTTATGCAACCTAAAGCCCCAGAAGATGAGGGGGATTGAATCTCAAGCCATGCTGCTCTGCGCTTCAGTGTTAGTAGGACTGATGCACTCTAATTCAACCATTTCATTCAATCAGCTAAGTTCTTATAGTATAAATCATCTTGATTTTTGATCTTTCTAAATGTGATGGTCTTCAGTGAGGGAGAGCCCAGGAAAGTGGAGCCTTTGGATCCACCAGAAGGATCAGTACCAGGAGACCGTGTTTATGTAGAAGGATATGAATCAGGCAAACCAGATGATGAATTGAAACCAAAGAAAAAGGTGTTTGAAAAGTTGCAGGTATGTGAGTTTTATATCTTTGTACTTAAAGATTCATATTAAAGTATCACTGTGTCTTATTCTTGGTTGTATGTTTATTTGTCTGATCTCTTCAGGTGGATCTGAAGATCTCAGGCGAGTGTGTTGCACAATGGAAAGAGCAAAATCTGATGACCAAACTAGGACAGATCACCTGTAAAACACTGAAGGGTGGAAATATTAGCTAGTTGTCTTCACCATTTCTCTCAAAATCCTCAAAGCTAGTTTGAATGACAGCCCAGTATCCCCGTGACAAGTACACAGTGTCAGGTATTGCTCATCATAGCCATCCTAAACTGTTAACTGACTCTAATGGAGAAGAAAATGGCTTATAATGCCATTATTTAATTTCAACGGTCCCATTCAGCCATATCAACCTGTGAATGATCTAATAGCACATGATTACTGCAGCAAAATACATCTAGGTATCATCTGTGCTTTACATTGCATGTATTGCCGTCCAGGATGTTTTACACAAAGTACTGCAGTAAATAATGTCATGCTCATTTGTTTGAATAACAAATGAAGACTCTTGCAGGAGTTCATCTGTTATCCTTAAACTCAGGTCCTCCTGTTGTGCCATGTCTGGAACTAGATCATTGCTTACAATGATCAGTCTCCAGTCTGACAATGTTCAAACTATTTAATCATCAGTGGAAACGGTTCAGACATGGACAGTCTATATACTCAAACTGTTGTGGATACATATTTTAGCATTAGTTAGCTTACTTCACAGAGAAAAAAGGAATTTCATGTAATAAAACATTCAGAACTCATCTGATGTTAACCAAATTCATTGAAATAAACAACAACGATTCATAACCGTTTGCTATATGTCTTGATGGAATGATAATAGAAATGCCTTTGAAGGTACTTTTAGAGTTTGATCTGCTGAAAAGAGATATTTAAATATATGAACCTGACAAATGTTTGGGAGCCTATTTTGAAACACCGTCAATATGAGCAATACAATTTAATGATTGATTAAAGATTATGGAAAATATAATTCACTTATATATTGTGTTGTACAATATATATAAAAAAAGTAGATTTTCCAGATAACATCCTTCGAAAACAAAACATAGTGGTATGGGGGGCTTATATATGATGTTACGAATGTATGGCTGTCGGTAATGTTGAAAAGCATGCAAGTTAAAAACAGTCAAAACAAGGTAAATCTATAAATATCTTTAATGCATATTTATTTTTAAAACAGTGTAGTAATTCTGTTCACTCCTCCCTTAACGTAAACAGCTACTAAAGTATTTGTGTATGTATGTTTTTTACATCAATTTTAGAGGGACCATCAGTCAATACTCTTACCTGTTTGCTGGTTTAAAAAGAAATGCAGCATTTAGCTAAGTGCTTTAATCTAATGAAAAGTAAATACGTAAATGTGTATATGTTCAGCTATAGTCAGCATACTGCAAAATTCATAAAGGTAACAGATGGTTCTGTACATGTATAATTAAACATTTGCTGAAAGCAAATTCTGAAAGTTGATTGCAGTAGCACTAAAACTTTTAAAACTGTTAGTAGAATCTCATTAAAAGCTAGTAGTCAATCTGTGTGCTTGGGCATATTTGTATGTAAAAAAAATACAATTATAACAGGTTTTGACTTTTTTGCGCCAAGCAGTGATTACTACCACTAGTGACCACTAGATGTCAGTTCAGTCTTGCAGTCATTAGCTTTTCAAGTCCACAATAAACTAAAAGGACTTTTCCCAGAGCAGACAAACTCATTTAGAAAAATACTTGAAAGCTGTAATAAAGCTATTGTATAAAACAGATTGGGGAAAAGCTTTTTGCATACATTTGAAGGCCATTTCTCCTTAAGACAGCTGTGGTATCCATGGATCCTTGAACAAGATCTATCTTGGGCTTTCATCACTTGCTTTGTCCTCGTGTTTTTCCCATACTGTGACTAAACAGTCCAATCAAAACTCAACTCGTGTGTCCTGACTCTTCAACATGCAGTCTCTGTACTTCCTGAAAAAGAAATATAATTATAATGATCATTTGCATGGTTCTGTCTGTGTTTCATGCACAAACTAAAATAACCAGTGAATGCTTCCTTACTTGTTTGCTTCTGGTTTCCTAATGATTGTGCTCGCTGACCAGCAGGATGCACTTGATCACTTTGCCCATTAACTTCAACCCTTGTTATTTTTTTATTTGTCAAGATCTCAGTCTTATCCGGTGTTGCATTCTCTGTCTTATTGGGAGGATTTGTTCCATGCACTGGTTTCTTAGCAACAGGTGGCGGCACCTTAATTGGCTTTTTTGTTCCATTTGTAACCATTGTCTTGGCTTGGTCAGAAACCTGCATTATCTCAGCTGCAAGACTTTGTTTGAGGCTTGCTTGGACCTCAGGAGAAGTAGGCGTTTCAATGACAACTTTCTTTGTGCTTTTTGAGAAGATAAAGCTGGCTGTAGATGCAGGGGACTTGTGTAAGTCACAGCCGTCTGGTGTTTTAGGGGATGGCACAGGTGAACTAGCACTACTGTTTGAGAAAAAGTGTAGATTGAGCATTGCAGGTACTCCGCTGGAGGACATTGCAGCAGTCTTCATACGTATGGCCTCTTGAAGACGCTTGGATGGGACTGTGGCTGGAGCAGGAGATGATTTAGCAGGTGAGTTGGACTTCAAGGTCAAGGATTTGCGAATAGGCTTTTGTGGCGTTGCTTGACTAGTAATACTGTGATCCTCATTTGTTGTGGCCTCAGTGCTTGGTTTGGTATCATTGTTAACTTGATCTTCACCTACATTTACAGATCTTAGTCGAACCATCTGAAGCAAGGAAGGTGTGACAAGGGGAATGTTGGCATCCTCCTTTGGAATAAGTGTGCTTTTGTGACGACAAAGCAGGTCTTTGCTCCGGCTGTCTTTGTTTACGAGGCTCAGTTGCCTTCGGAAGTTAACAGTGGATTGGTCTTCCACTGGAAGTGGAGGTGCAAGCGGCACGTTAGTGGAATCTGCTTGGGTATCAAGTGATGTTTGCTCTGATGAATCTTGTGCTGACAAAGTTGGCATTTCCTCCCCTTGTACAAGTTCATCTGGTAAAAGAGAGGACATTTTAGTAGGAGCTACAGTTTCCATGCCACCTTTGTCCACAGAGAAGTGTGAGACATTGTTACAAGGCTTATCTTCTTGCCTGTCCTCCATATCATTTTGTACAGTTCTTGCTGGCAGAATGGTCTGTATTTTGGAGTCTTGGTCTGGACTGCTAGCCATATCTGAGGCATTAGATGACCTCAATTCTATATTGTCTTGCTGTTCACAGGACTCTTCGTGGCAATTGGCAGATGCCTCCGAAAGGGGTTCATGGATGAACGAGGGAGGTGGTGGGGGGAAGTCAAGTTCATCTTGTTCCTCAAACATCAAGTCAGTTGATTCTTCCATTGGTGGCGGTGGTGGAGGCCAAGAAGACTCCAGAAGAGCCACCTGTTCCTCTGTTTCTTGCTTCTGTTCCCCTTCATCAGATGGTGGTATAGACCCTGAGGAGGCTGATGTCTTTTTAGTAGGCGGTGGTGGAGGGTGGTGTTCTGGAGGTGGAGAAGGAGGAGGAGAAATGCCATTGACCTCAGGTACTTCTATGCCGAGAGTTTGCAATTGTTTATGATTGAGAATGTCCTTAACAATGCAGTTTCCTTTGTTCTCCTCACTGTTTTCGTCATTCCTTCGGGTGCATGTTGTGCTCACAATTTCAGGACTTGTTTTGACTTTACAGTTTGTTTGTGACAGCATACTTTGATCAATTTTGATAGTTGGTACCTTCGTTGTTGGGAGTATTTGGCTTCCTTTTTCCTTTTGATCCTCTTCAGTTCTCTGATCTTGTGTATGAACGCTCTGGTTGACCTCTGTAGGGATTTTTGTACTTTCTAGTTCATTTAGCACATTGTGTAATGTTGAGCTTTCATTATGCCTCAAATCTGGAGGTTCTGCCATCATTTGTTCGTGCACTTGTGATGACATGGACTCTTTTTGTTCTTTTACAGCTTCTTTGTTCTCCAGTTTGGTACCTGACTTAATTTCTTCTGTTGTCTGTATCTTTGGGATCATTTGTTCAGTGATTTGTATGGAATTCGTGTTTTGCTTTTTACCTATTAATGAGTCTTTTTGCTGTTTTTGAAGCTGATGTAACCTATGGGGGTTTGGACCTGGGCCACATAATAGTTCAAGCGTGCGTTTATTGTGAATCCAGGTTTCAGGGGGTGGGGGAGATGGGGCTTTTACCTTGGGTGGAGGGGGAATGTTGAACAGTTCCCTTTGGGGAATAGTTGGGTGTGTCAGTGTCACCTTGTTCTTCACTGTTGTAACAGTTGGGGAGCACTTTAATAGCTCTGATGGATTGGTGTTGGTTTGAATGTCATGATGTGCCATGTCTGATGTGACTGAAGATAGAGATGTCATTGATGAAGAGACTGAAACCACCGGCGAGGTCCGTACACCTGTTCTCTCAGGCTTTGAAGGCTTAACTCTTCTCTTTCCAGGTGAGGAGGGACTGACCTCTTTAGGGGAATGCGTAGGTGTCCCACTTTGGCTTGAGTATCCACTCGAAGGAGACAAAGTCCTATCAAATTTGTTTTCACCAGATTCTTCTCCAGTTTTCTGTGGGGATGAGTTACCTGATCTGACATGACTTCTAGTAAAAGCTTGATCAGGACTAAGTGGGCTGCATTCTCTTGATGAGTTGAGCACTGAAGAATGGACAGACCTCTTCTCATTATTGGTGGACTGCTGGTCTTTTGGACCACTAAGATCTCTACCTGTTTGCACATCATCTGGGGCCATATTTTTGAAACTTTTTATGTCTACCAGTTCCCTTGATCTCCACTTAAGTTTTTCATGGTGCAGGGAATAGGTTCTCTGAGGTGGTGCTGGTGGCAATTTTGTCTTCATTATAGAAAGACTACGAGAGAATGAATGGCTGTTTCTGACATTTTCCCCTGCTTCACCCATCTCCCTGTGGTCCAGTCTGTGATTTGTACCGTTACTGTTAGAGCTTTTACAACTGCTTGAGCTTGTAACACTTGTGTCCTTTGGGATTAAATCGGAAACTACTTTGGTGCTGTCAGCAACAAATGTTGGTAGACACTTTGCTTTTGAAGAGATTGTGGAGGAGTTGGAGACGATCGTCTCAGATGATTGGGAATGGCTCCTGTTGGGGCTAGCGGTAGTTGGATCTTGATTTGTGTCACCTCCAGATCGTGAAGAAGCTGGACTAGCTGATGCTAAACTACTCTTGCTAACTGTACTTGTACTGC